ATATTTTGTATAGGCGCGAGCAGAGTAAAACCTCTCTCTGGCCAACGCTGTTCTATAGTAACTTTTCCAATAAAGAATCGCAGCGAGAGCGTAAAATCAAAATAGAGCGTAAAATTGAGAAGAGAAAAATATCAGAAAAATTTATTGAACACAAAACTAGCAAAAACTTGCAAGTGAACAGTTGTTGCACTGTTTTGGCACATTTTTGCNAAGATAGGTATGTATGACATTTTCTTAAAATTTAAGTCTCGTGTAAATAGGCAACCCTACGTCATATCGGCAAAATATGCTGCACGTATATTCATGTCACCTAGACCTTCAATCTCTTCAACTTTCATCCAAATNAATTGTACATTTTTTACATTAATATGCGACGTATAAAAAACAAAAAAAAATTAAGTAAACATTTTTCTTTTTGATTACAGCATTTTTAAAAATTTTTATTTTTACATAAAAACATTGTCTATAATGTCAACTTCAAGTAATACATATGTCTATTTATCATATTGCTCGAGCGTTAGACGTTCTAGAGTCCATACGCATAAGTAGCCCATTACGCCCATTTGGGTACTTAAAGTTCACATTATAGACAATATTTTTATGTAAAAATAAAAATAAAAAAAAAATGCTATAATCAAAAAAAAAATCTAAAAGAAAAATGTTTACGTAATTTTTTTGTTTTTTTTTTTATACGTTGGACGTTAATGTAAAAAATGTACAATTAAAGCCCATAATAAGACGGAAGAAATACATTTTTTATCATTAAGTTTAAAGATAGGTATGTATGACATTTTCTTAAAATTTAAGTCTCGTGTAAATAGGCAACCCTACGTCATATCGGCAAAATATGCTGCACGTATATTCATGTCACCTAGACCTTCAATCTCTTCAACTTTCATCCAAATCGTGAGAGGTCGCGCACAGCGGTGGCCGCGGTGACATGAAATGCCTCTATAGCACTAATGGGCACTGCCTTGCCCGCGGGCAAAGCTCTTGTAAGCTTACCATATATTTTGTATAGGCGCGAGCAGAGTAAAACCTCTCTCTGGCCAACGCTGTTCTATAGTAACTTTTCCAATAAAGAATCGCAGCGAGAGCGTAAAATCAAAATAGAGCGTAAAATTGAGAAGAGAAAACTAACAGAAAAAGTTATTGAACACAAAACTAGCAAAAACTTGCAAGTGAACAGTTGTTGCACTGTTTTGGCACATTTTTGCAATTTATAAATCAGTTTTAAACTCTTTCCTTTACACACAAGCACTTACACTGCCCAGTACATCATTCATATTTTGATTTCCACTCATTTTACTGTTATTTACGCTTAACCAATTCAAAAAATGGCGGCTTTTGACATTTACCGCCCTATTCCCACAACACTGACAAAATTTATTGTATGACTATTGTCACAATTACTGCGCCTAAAACACAATATAAACATTGTTTCGCCGTTGTCACTTACTCAGTAGGTCATAACAATATAACCGACAATTGTCATACGACAGCTTAAAATAAATTTTCGGCATAGTATTAGGCGCAGTAGTAAAGGCAATAGTCAGCCGCTGAGTTTTGTCAGTGGTGTGGGAATAGGGCGGATATTCTCGTTCTTCTTCTGCNAAATGCCTCTATAGCACTAATGGGCACTGCCTTGCCCGCGAGCAAAGCTCTTGTAAGCTTACCATATATTTTGTATAGGCGCGAGCAGAGTAAAACCTCTCTCTGGCCAACGCTGTTCTATAGTAACTTTTCCAATAAAGAATCGCAGCGAGAGCGTAAAATCAAAATAGAGCGTAAAATTGAGAAGAGAAAACTAACAGAAAAAGTTATTGAACACAAAACTAGCAAAAACTTGCAAGTGAACAGTTGTTGCACTGTTTTGGCACATTTTTGCAATTTATAAATCAGTTTTAAACTCTTTCCTTTACACACAAGCACTTACACTGCCCAGTACATCATTCATATTTTGATTTCCACTCATTTTACTGTTATTTACGCTTAACCAATTCAAAAAATGGCGGCTTTTGACATTTATTCTCGTTCTTCTTCTGCTAGGTAATTTCTGCTAGTAAAAATTTCACTAGCAATAATTTGCAGTTCTCCCGTGTTATTATGCTCTCGATTAAGTGCCCTCTTGCAAATTTTGTGTTATTATACACTTCGAGTATAATTTAGTACCGAGTACAATTTAGTACTGACTATACTTACTATACACACCTTCTGTGCCCGGAACTCCGATCGTCGTGCTACAGACCAAAAGAGTGCAGTCGGCACATCGTTTTCATTGCCTCCTCTTGGATCGCTAAATCCAGAGGCGGAAAATTCAACAGGGCATTAAGAGCCGGTAACGACGTTGAACTCATGGTGCCCGTATTGCCTATACACACGCTCCTTTGTAGCCTGTTTAACACAGATACCGTAGTTTTAACCGTGGTTCTGCGCCACCATACTGCAGAAGAGTACGTGACGATTTTCCTGACTAGAGATATGTACATTAGACTGCATCACCAAAAAAAGTTGCGGCTTTTCCGCCAGGATGACTAAATTTATTATATTTTAAGACGTCCACCAAAATATTTCGTAAAAATATTAAGATCTAAGTGAGCTGGCCCGATTTGAAAATACCTCCAAAAATGAAGTTTTTTATGAATAAAAATAGTTTCTTAAAGAACATTTTTTAAAAAGTTCCCTCAGAAGACAAATTGGAATAAGCTTAAAAAATCTGCATAAAAATATTTAAAAATCTTTTCAATGGAATCGTAAGAATGAGATTTTTGATGCTGTTTTTTTACTTTTTTCAAAGATTGATTTACGAAAAACTTGAATAACTGGACCAAAAATTTTCTGATTTAGACTTATGGGATCTCAGTAGAAAGGTATTTTCACACCGTTTTTATTTCTGGCCAAAAACAGCGTCATTCGTGTCCCATCTTTTTTTTCGAATACCAAAGATCTTAATTCAACTTTGAATGAGGTTCGTTTCTCCTACCTTTCTCTTCCATCCTTTGAGTAAGTTTATTAGCAAATAAATGAAAAGGGTGAGAAAGTACCTTTCCAATGACACCTCTTAAGTCTAAATCGGAAGAGTTTAGGTTCAGTTATTCAAGTTTTTCTTATACCAATCTTTGAAAAATGCTAAAAACAGCATCATTACGATTCCGTTAAAATTTTTTTAAATTTTTTTTTTAATATTTTTATGCAAATATTTTAAGCTTAAGCCGTTTTGTCATTTGAGGGGATTTTTTCAAAGGAAATCTTTAAGAAACTATTTTTATTCATAAAAAAAAACATTTTTGGAGGTATTTTCAAATCGGTCTAGCTCACTTAAGTCTTAATATTTTCCGAAATATTTTGGTGGACGTCTTAAAACATAGTAGATTTTATAATTCCAATGGAAAAATAGTACCGATTTTTTTTTGTATGGGGAGTGATGCAGTCTAATGTACATAAATACAAAATACCATAGCCGGTCTGAGACCCCACTGTCCGAAAACCTACAGCGTTCGATTTACTTTCAGCTCGACGTGAATTCTCCATGTCAGCTTCGTATCTAGAGTTACTTCACATCCACGAAAGGACTTAGGTTTACACCTCTAAGCACTGGAAGGTTGAGACCTTCCAATTTTCTTTTCCGCGTAAACAAGACTAGGGTTGTCTTGCTGGAATTGACAGCAAGACCCCTGAAAGTGCACCATTCATCAATATTAATCAGGATTCTCTGTGTCTTAACACAAACTTCCTTGAGAGATTTACCTGATGGCAGTTCAAAAACATCATCCGCGTAAGCTTGGTTGTGAACGAAATCTGGCATTTCCGTTGGTAGGGAGTCCACTACCAAACACCAAAAGAGAGGTGAGAGCACTACACCCTGAGGGCATCCTCTCCCAACCTCTGCCATGGTCCAAAAACCAACTGGTTGGCAACGGAAAAGAGTTCGAGAATAGATGAATCATCGCCTATCCTGTCCCGCTTCCCCGTTGTCGTTTCGGGTGCAGAGTCAGAGACCGATGGATTTTGAGTACTCACCTTGGATATAGCCGCATATTTCTTCTCATTTGGCCTCCTCCTCTTCAACTGCCTTGCGGTCAGCTTTTCACTCGTTTGAGGATCACCAGTACAGGATTTCTCCGTACCGGTACTCTCCTGCTTTGGACCAGGTTTAACTGTTGTTGCTTCCATCTCTGATACCAGTGTCCGTCTTGAAGAAGGAGAAGGACCATCTAGCATCTCCACATCTGTCACAACCTTGGTTGCTTCAGAAAGTATCGATGGTAGTTCGCCCTCCACCTCATTCAGAAGTAGGCTCTGCATTGACAGTGTCAATGTGCCGTCTTCCACCAGTAGCTTGGTTCCACCGATACCCTTGCTGCCAGTCTCGGTCATAGCGCGGTGAGCTTTGAGCCTGCACATCCGATGCCCATGCTTGCTGGTTTGAAACTTTCAAATATGTGGCAACCTCCACAAAAATATTTTCGGCTACAAGCCTTTTAAACCTCTTTCTTTTGGCAACCGTATTGCAATATTTCCTTTATCCTATCAATTTACTGGAATTTTAAAACAGGTGGCAACTCTCTATGTTTTTTCTTTCTAGATTTTAGATAGACCTCAAGCAATACATCGGTGAAATCGGTGCATTCAATTTCATGCATTAGTTTTCGAGTGATGCGCGTACAAACATACAGACAGACAGACAAAAATTCTGAAGATTGTTGATTTGGCTTCTATTTCTCTATTAAAGTCCCCCCGTTTTAATTTTCCTTTAGTATATTTTATGTAGAGACATCGGCCTGTTACAATTTTATTGTATGTATNCGGACAGACAAAAATTCTTAAGATTGTTGATTTGGCTTCTATTTCTCTATTAAAGTCCCCCCGTTTTAATTTTCCTTCAGTATATTTTATGTAGAGACATCGGCCTGTTACAATTTTATTGTATGTATGTATAGATGGTTTCCACAAAGTTTAATGTACTAATTTATTTTATTTGATATTTTTATTACACGCAGGCATCCACTCCCAGTGAACTTATCCATTCGTCCTATACATATCGAACAAAACCCCGAATCGGACAGCATGTAAGCCACATATCTTCAAAAGTGACTAATTTCTATAATCTTAAGAATCATCTCTCGAATTTTATGAATAGAAAACCTTCGACGCCGTCAGCACCAGCGACGACAAAGAAACCGCGAAAGCCGAACGTTTTCATTGATGACGAGAAGTACGCGATGGCCAAAACACTTGTCGCTCAGAATGCATCGACAATGGAAATTGCGCGTTCTCTTAATGTTTCACAGATGACAGCTTGGAAGGTGCGGGATGCCATTGTAAAAGGCTTGCCCTTGTCGTATCGCAACAAAAGAGATGGGCGCAGTGCCTCAAATGGCTCGAGTATAAGTGGTGAAACGCCCACGAGCGCTGTACCGGAAAGTGTAGAGTCACAGATGGCTCATCAGCTTCTATTGCAACAGCAGTTACAACAAGAGCAGTACCGGCAGGAACAATTACAACTGCAGAAACTGCAGCAACAACAAACACAGCAAAAACGATTGCAACAACAGCAACAGCTGCAACAACAACAACAGCAAGAGCGCATGCGTCTACTACAAAGACAACAACAATTAAAAGCACAACAAAATATTCAAAAGCAGCATCAGTTACACGATCAGTTGCAGCGTCCGCAACAACAGCCAGAAAAGGCTCGCAACGGACAGCACTACGCAGCGTCACAATCATCTTCGCCGCCAAGGTACGAACAGTCTGCTACCAGCGCCATCGCTGCAGCACCGGTAAAATTTATACATCCTCGCCGTCGTTTGAAAGCGGCCGAACGGGAACAGCGAGACAAGGAAATCACTCGAGAGATACTCGAACTCATACGTGAAGATAGTAACATTCAGTATTGGAAGGTATCTGCGCGACTAGCCGAAAAAGGCTTTCCCATTTCGCCCTCTTCGGTGTGTCAAAAACTCAAATCTATGGGCATACATCGACGATGGAAGCCCGGCGATAAACCACCAATGATGGTAGACATCGAGCAGTTGAAAGCGGTTAATGCTATAGTCGGCAATCTGGTCAACGCGCCAAACTCTGCCGAAGAAGGCTATGATCATCAATTCGAAATGGGGGGCGCACATTTTCTTAGTGCCTTTACTCGATAAATCATAAGCAAAGGGGTAGACAAGACGAAGAGCATACATCTATACATACATATGTATACATTGTCGAAAATAATGATTTCATAAAAATGTGTATTGACTAAACAAAGATTGCATACATACATATGTATGTATGTACATACTGTGTACATGTACATAAGAGTATAAATGCATGTATGCGCAAACAAAATGAACAGTATATTTGGGAGGCAACATGCAGTATACGAATGTTTAAAATATACATAACGTGAGATATAAGAGTTATTCAAGTAACTATCAAGTATTCCCTTTTTAATTGGTGTCTTATAAAATGGCACAAGTATATGTAGTATGGTTTATATTACAGGTATTTATAATATAAAATTTTAAGTTCATATATTCAGTATTTGCAGGAATTATACAAATTTTAAGTTATTAGTATTATGTGAGTCAATAAAAAGCTACATACATATATTATCAAAAGCAAAACTCCTAATGGATAAAACATTCCAAATTTTTACCCATACGAAAAAAAGAAAAAGCCATTAAATGGTAGACAGCTTCCATTTCAGATATACAGCTATTCGCATACGTAAATATTATTCCACATAAAACTCTGTTTTTGCACACGTGCAGCGAATTATACACATACACCTGCGTTCAACTAATTAGCACCGAAATTCAAAATAATATTGTTTGCAACTTATGTTTATTTATTTATTTTTAATAACGCAGGTGTATATACATACTATGTATTTATTTTATTCTTGTAAGCCAGAAAACAATGTCCATCGAAGTATTGAAGCTTAAAGTAAGTAATTAGAGTTCTATCTATATACTAAGAATGCACATGAAAGACTAGCTTGATCAAAACGTAAAGACATTAGAAGACCCCAATAGCTAATACTTTTTCCAGATATTAATTGTATTAGTTTTATTATAAATATTTAAAATGCTTTATTTGTAGGGCCTATTTCAACTTCATATTTCTAGATATATATTTACATATATAATAATGGCTTAATATATGTAATTGTTAAAATTCTTACAGCAGCTTACTTTACAAATGGTACGGGTTTAAGAAAAAACTAAATTTTTACTTTTTTAAAATACACCATAATTTTTTTTTCACTTCCTCGGAAATTTAGTCTACACCTACACATCTCAAACATTTTCTGAATATATGAAGGATTTGTGTTCCAAAATTTTACCGAACTTTGCCAAATTCAAAATTCATTGTCTTCCACTAAACGTATCATTGTAATTTTTTAAGGCTGAGATATTTACTAGAAACCTGCGTACACTTGGTATTTTAATTTACAAATGTAAAAATAATATATAATTTCCACTACACTTTTATCTGAAACACCTGTTTTTAACCGACTTCAAAAAAGGCATAAGGTTATCAATTCATCAGAATGTTTTTAACTTTTCTTTATCAGAAATGTGGTACCACAAGGGTGGTCCCATACTAATTAGGTTTAGTTCCGTTCATTGCGTCATGAAGAAAAAACTGTACTCCTAAATTTTTATATGAGCATGCTTAGCAGTGTTTTAAATAATTAATATAACAAACATTCATATCTATAAAGTATAGAAAAGGAAAGTAATAGTAAGTGCGTAATTGTTTAAGATANACTTGGTATTTTAATTTACAAATGTAAAAATAATATATAATTTCCACTACACTTTTATCTGAAACACCTGTTTTTAACCGACTTCAAAAAAGGCATAAGGT